ACCCCCCACATTTTGCCAAACTGGTGAACCCTTCACTCATTGGTCCCACACGCCCATCGAAAAATCAATCGTTTTCCCTTAAATAATGCCTAGTTTGAGTTGACTCTGCGACTGTTTACAGGAGTTCAAGCAAGCTCTGTTGCTGTGGTATATGTGTTCGAAGTCGTGTCCAACTAAATGGGGGTTGTCGACCAATGCAGTTTGGGTGTACTTTTTAAAAGTACAAATGACTGGATGGCCAGTGTTTCTCAGAAATGATATTCACAACCACGAGAGCCCCTCTACATTATGCCAAGCTGGTGAAACCTTCACTCATTGGTCCAAAAGGCGCAATCGCAAGCCTCCTTTACAAACTCCCTGCATGCGTTGCCTACCAAAGCTCACGTTGAAACGTCTTTTTTCTCTACGCGTAGAACAGTTCTGAATGGAAGCAGTTATATTTCGGGCTTCATTGCTCAACCATTATAACACCTGCCTGCTTCCAAATATCGATCGTTTCGCCTGAATTTAACCCGATTGCTATTGGTCATTGATGTTGCCATACGACTTTTGGTTCAAATCCCAGTTTCAAGGTCTGAAATCACGGCTAGGCACAAGAGAAGAATCTACTGCACCGCGTCGCTTCTAATTTGTGTCAGTGTTGAGTGTGCGGTTGCTCCATAGTATCTTAGCGTAACAACATTAAATTAGATTTAATTGAGGTCAGAAGACGTAGACACTGCAACAGGTGTGTGCTTTTGGGCCTGATATTGCACCCTCAGTCGCCACAATTTTCCACCCTCTGTTACAGAAATTACTGTCAGTGTTCTTACCTTTCTACGCCTCGATTTTTGTCCAAAAATGCTTTCTAGCAATTGTTGTGTGCCCCCTACTTTTACAATGATCGCAAATGGCCTCATTTAATCTGACCTTGAGTTGACTTTTAGAGGTGGATTTTGATTGGATCCTTTATTTGTTTAAATGAATGAGGCTGTTGGATTTAAAAAATCACTATATCGAATCAATATTGAAAAAAAAGTGAGGCGTTGCCAAACTCTGTCAACGTCGAAATGGGTTTCTACGTCAAGCACATTCGAATCTCACAAAATCACGTTGAATTTCCAGAGAGAGCCAATTCCAGGTTAGAGAAGCAGCAAACATAGCAGCAGGGACAGATCAGATATAGAGACTTGAGAACTCATCTTCTGCAATCCGTGGTGGTGTCTTGAAGTTTGTGGTGTTTCATATTAACAGTACTGTTGTGAATCGTGCTGATTCACACCCCTTAATCCGGTCGCTCCACCTCCGACACAGGGTTCCCCTTTTCGCAGCATGTCGCCAGCCGCGCGGATCCTCAACTCCCCCCTCATTCACACTGATATTTATCCTGGATTATCCTCACACCTAGGTCTCGATGTTAACGTATATATGATTCACACATCTGAAGTATAAGTACACACGCGCAAACCCCACACATGGCACGACACCAACGTGGTTGAGCTCTGAAGTAACCGATTGTGTCCACGTCATCTCCGGTTTTTTTTCTTCATCGCGGGTATCAGAGAAGTGTAATCGGGACAGGGTTAATTTCGTGGCCCCAGCCTGGTTCAAGACGACGTGCTAGTGGCCACAGCGACTAAATTTAACAGTGCTTAGAACAATCGGGGAATTTCGTAAACTATGAGTTACTACGGTTTCATGTGGTTTTTAAAACCGTCTTTAAGCGGATCTTGCAATTACATCGGTAAAATGCGTTTCTCATAAACCAAGGATCTGGCGAATTGAGTTCATAAAAATGGAGTAATCATTTCTAAATCACATCCGTAGCATACTGAAACACTGCAGAACGGTTGAATCTTTCAATAAGGCTTGATTTATCAAATCTCTAATTATTTTAACCACAACTAGGAGATTTTGTTACCTGCCTGAAAAAAATCTACGGCCGTCGGCATCTTGTAAATCGCGTTTTCTTAAAGAACCACCGGTAAAGTTGTTTTTTTCCTGCCACAAAAGGCACTTTTTAAGGAAAAACTGGCCTACTTATTAAGGTTTGGCCTGCACTGACTTTCCCCAGTCAAAAATTAAGGCAGTGGATGTCCTTGGAGAGTAAAAGTGGACACTACAATTTGAGTGGCGTTGTGCTACCAGGATTTACTGCTGATGATGCTGTCTGGAAGATGAGAAATTGTGGAATGTGCACTCGTAGACAAGAAAAAAATTTTTAAACAGTTTTTTTCGCCGTAAGCAAGCCTCAGTCACTGTACATCAGAAGCTAGCCAATCAAATTCACGTGCAACTGACTCCTAGCCAATGAGATTAATGTTCATGGCAATCGATCGCCTACATGCTCAAACCGTCAGTGCTTTTCGGCGTGGCAATCGATCGTCATTACGCTCGAAAGTATCCGAATTTTTTAAGAACAAATTAAAACAAAACAACCATCTATAGGTTGCCAACTTTGTGCAATTTATGAAATAATCTCCTCTTCTTTTTCCTCCCAAGAATTTCGCCGTTGATCTGACGTTCAGTGAGCCGAACGAGTGTACCGAGGAGGCAATTAAGGACGCCATGCGCAGAGCCGGTGGTGCCAACTACGGCCGCGGTTGACGATCTCCTGGTCTGGAATTGTGGTCTTCCAAGTCCCTCGTGTGTTCTGTCTCTATTGCTGCTTACTGAGTCTTCTAACGCCAAAGTTGATGAATAAAATCCCAAATCAAAAGACCAACTCATGTCTTGGTGTCTCAGAAGCGACCTCTTTAATTTCCCAAGACTGGTGATCTAATTTAGGAAAACGTCAAACTTTAAGTAGCCTTAATTGTTTCCATTTTCGTCTATTGCTATCTGCACTCTATTACTAATTGATAAAAAGTCAATTATGTTTAATGACTCGATTAGTTATAAAGCGGTTCTTTAGAAATTTGGCATTGAAAGTAGGTTTCGTGTGATAATATCAGTCAGCTCAGTCAAGTCAAATGCCAGGAGTCAGCGTTGTGAAATGCATTTGCATGACCACAAAAACGTAGCAACGCTTAATTGCCTGGGGTAAATTAATAAAGAAAAACTCCTCCTTCTCAAGGTCACGCGTGATCTGATGTCAAAACCTGATTGGTGGATGGGGCATTGAATGCGAATTAGAGGCCGATTAAATGTGATGACAGCATCATCATCACTTACTCAATCAGTTTTTCCCCAAAGCTGGCAAATTTAACAGGTTTAAGGTGTCTAAAGTGGGACATAAGGACTAACAGATATCCGTACACTATTTTGAAGTGAGCGCACCAATCACATTATGAAAAAAAAACAGCGTTTAAGTTGCGCTGTTTTACAAACTCTAGCAGTAAATGCTTGTGAGATTATGCATGGCTGCGTTAGTTCGCGCCACCTGTTCAAACTTAATTGGGGATTTTGGTAGACATGCGAATTTCACTGCGCCACTAAGATGGCGTCTGCCTCGTATATTGATTTTTCACATCTAACCATAACAATGGACAATTGGTACTTTGTTTTTGACATGCCTGTTAATAATTCAGGTGTGCGTTTGCTACCAGCGGAGTTATCGTGTCCGTTTAAACAAGGAAATGCAAGAGATGCCTTCGTGTGAGTTTGCAATGCGCATCACAAAACCTAGCTGTCAAATTACCCAATCTGAGAGCGAAATTACCCCCCTGTCTAGAGGAAATCCAATTTCACCATCTCAGGGTAAACTGGTCGAGTGATCTAAAGACCAGAAGGCTTTCCTGGTAGCTGAAATGAGGGGCCTGTATTGACTCCAAATCTGCCTTTTGGGTTTGATTTAAATGCATGATTTCTGTGTGATGTAAGAAACGTCTAGTGCTACACCAGCGTGATTCCTACCTTCAAACTTAATCGCACTGCAGTATACTCGATGAAGTGTTATTCCTGATGTTCTGTAAACCAGCTGCGCCGTCATATCGCCTCTGACACTGTTCCACAGTTGTCAAAAGACATCTTCCTGTGTGTGCGATCGACCAGTGATGTTCACGAATAAGAAAGGGCTTGTCGGTGAGTTCTATCGTTAAAAATACGGCCCAGGTTCTTCGTAAATCATTGTGAAATGCGTGGGAGGGTTCTACCGCTGGACGCGGAAGTGTCTTTTATGTGAGAAAAGTCAAGGTAACTGGGCCGATGAAGGCGTCCAACAATCAGGTTCGAACATCACGACGTAGTAGGATTGGAGGATACCCACTGAAGTGGTTAAACACTTAGAAGACGTACACAACCAGTCGATTTTGGATCGCCTGTCGCTCCGGTAAGTCTTTGACAGTGTTCAATGGAAAAGCTTTCGTGGAGCGAAATCCCTATGTGACAGTGATTCCATGGAGAAGATGGATTACCGTTAGAGGTTCGTTGTGTGCTTGAGTTCACCACCACCACCACCACCACCACCACCACCACCACCACCACCACCACCACCACCACCACCA